ACAATCTGTGTCCTTCCCACAGGCTAGACCATTGAGAATTGGCCAAATGGAAGAAGCTCTTTTTTGCCATTGGGAATGCTCCCAAGATAGCCAAAATGGGATTAGGCTCAGTTGAAGGCCAGCCCTGGGGTAGAGCTTGGTCTCAGTAAAATTGGCAAGGACCCCTATGCTTTGACAAAAGGGACTTATAATGATCACCAACTCCTTTATATTTCTAAAGAAATGAAAATAAAATGGTTCAAAATACTCAAGCTTATACAGTGTGCAGTGTATAAGCATCAGGTATAACAAGAATGACTGTGAGACTAAATATAAACATGCTGTAATTTGCTAAAAGAATATGCTAAAGAAAACACTGGGATAAAAACTCATAACTTAAAAGATGATCCTCTCGTATCACCAAATGCCAAAGAATCAGTGACTTAGTTTCCCTCCTGGTGCTTAATGGGGTCAGATCCTTGTGGAACAATACCCTTGGAATCTCTATAGCCTGAAAGCCTTTTTATCTTCTTATCTACATACAGTCATGTGCTATATGTACATGTACAGTCATATGCTATATATAATGATGTTTTGGTCAACCAAGGACCATATGCATAACAATGGCCTCATAAGATTATACTGCTGTATTTTTACTGTACATTTTCTTTTTTTTTTTTTTTTTTTGAGTCAGAGTCTCACTCCATTGTCCAGGCTGGAGTGCAGTGGCACGCTCATGGCCACCCCAGCGTCGACCCGCTGGGCTCAGGTGATCCTTTTGCCTCAGCTTTCCAAGTAGCCAGAACTATAGTCACGTGCTACCACGCCCAGCCAATTTTTTTATTTATTGTAGAGACAAGGTCTTGCCAAGCTGCCCAGGCTGTTCTCAAACCCATGAGCTCAGGCAATCCTCTCACTTCAGCCTCCCAAACTGCTGGGATTACAGACTTGAGCCACCGCACCCAGTCACCTTTTCTATTTTTAAATATATTTTGATACACAAATACCGACTACTGTGTTACAATTACCTACAGTATTTAGTGCAGTAACATGCTATACAGGTTTGTAACCTAGGGGCAATAGGCTATACCATATAGCCCAGGTGTATAGTAGGCTGTATCATCTAGGTTTGTGTAAGTACACTCTGTGATGTTCATACAAAAACAAAATCTCTTAATGATGCGTTTCTCAGAATGCATAGCCATCTTTAAGCAATGCATAACTACTCGCTAAAAAATACTTGCATAGTACTTGCTGCATGCTAGATCCATGCTTAGCACTTTACAAATACTAATTTATTTAATCAAGGCAACATTATGAGGTAGGTACTATTATTATCCCCCATTTACAGATGCAGGAGCTGAGAAGTAATTTTCCCAAGGTCATAAATCTAGTAAATGGGAATTGAACTCAGATAGAGTAACTCTAGACATCTCATTCTTATCCACTATGCTAGGTAAAGATAAATTGGGGGAGGGTTTAGAAATGTAGTCAGTGAAATTTAACCTGGTTTTCACGTACTTCTGGAGTGTCACCAGAGACTGCAAAATTTTCTACAAAAAATATCAAAGTCTTGATGGTCTCTAGTTTAAAAATAATAAACTAAACACTTCATAAAATAAACATCATAGTTTTAGAGTCTTAAATGACTAAGTAGTCTGTTAAAAAGAAGTATGTGTGTATACATAAACACATACAAATATATATAAGCATAAATAACTTATAGTTATATATAAATAAGACAAAAACAAACTGTGAATAATTTATTCAATTGTAAAATGTGCTCACGAGCAGAGCAGCAGAAACAAAACCTAAGATCCCATGGATTAGCTTCTATTCCTTTCATTTTTGGACTGGCTAAACCAGGGTTTGCGAAGCTCTCATAGTAGGATGATAGCAGTGACCATGAGGGAAGAAAGAAACATTGTATAGGTCCATAAATCCCTGTGACTATGACAAATCTTTCTTGAAAAGTATAGGCTGGCAAGGTAGAATGATGTCAAAGTCTAAAGGTATTCTAGTAGGATAAGATGAGTTTCAAAAAATTTGGTCTAATTTATAACCAAAAGATCATTAATTCAACATTGTTTTGTTTTTCTATTTTACACTCATTATGTATTATATCGTCAGCAGCTGGCAACATGTTTTAACCATTTATCAACATACAAATTCAAATTTATGTTCACTAGAAAGCTGTATTTTTTCCAGACAAGATGGCAAAGATTTTTATTTCACTGGGGCCTCAGTTTGAAGAATGATCAGAAATGTCCAAACAACCAATAGGCCTGATGGAAATTCTTGTGTATTTAAAGATAGGCTGTTGAGGTTGAGCACAGTGGCCCATGGTTGTAACCCTAGCACTTTGGGAGGCCAAGGCACGAGGCTTGCTTGAGTCTAGGAGTTTGAGACCAGGCTAGGCAACATAGTGAGACAGTATCCCTGCCAAAAATTAAAAATTAAAAAAAAATTAGTCGGGAGTGGGCACACCTGTAGTCCCAGCTACTCAGGAGGCTGAAATGGGAAGATTGCTTGAATCCAGGAATTTGAGGCTTGTGGTAAGCTGTGATCGTGATGCACTCCAGCCTGGGTGACAGAGACCCCAACTCAAAAAAAAGATAAGCTATTTGATCCCTAAGACTTGAGTAGAAAAATGTATCCATTGCATAAATAAGCCCATCCATCATATGTTTATCAAGTACCTACATTTGTCCATACCATAGACACAATGATGAGCCATAAAGATAGGTTCCGCCTTCAGGGAACTTAAGGCCTAGTCAGGAAGATGGATGGTCAAATGATCAAGGTAGTGAAAATAGAATTGCAAACAGAGACAAATGATCTAAAGAAAACAGTTCTTTGAGAGTATATAAGTAAAAGAGGTGGCCTAGACTTGAGGCTGTGGGGGAGGGTAGTTTGAGATTGGTTCTAAGAAGCAAAGAGAAATGTTCCATCCAGAGAAAAATAAAAACAAAGAACAATGGCTTGTACGGGCTCGGTGGCTCAGTCTGTAATCCCAGTGCTTTGGGAGGCCGAGGTGAGCGGATTGCCTGAGCCCCGCGGGTTCGAGACCCACCTGGGCAACTTGGTGAGACCTCATCTCTACCTAAATCAAAAAATCAGCCGGGTATGGTAGCGCACGACTGTCATTCCAGCTACTCCGAAGGCTGAGGTGGAAGGATCGCCAGAGCCCAGCAGGTCGAGGCTGTGGTGGCTGGGAACGGCCACTGCACTCCAGTCTGGGTGACAGAGTGAGACTCCAACTCAAAAAAAAAAAGAAAAATGGCTTGTATAAAAGTTGTGTGGTTGCATGAGTACAGTGTACTCAAGATCTGAAGGACAGCACATATGGATGAAACCCTGAGAACATAGAGTGGGAGGCTGGGGGAGGTGGTCAGAAATGTGGGAAACGGTGGACAACTAGTCTTAAGAAGTAGGCAAGCACAAACCATGTGAGGCCTTGTGGACTTCATTAAGGATGAAGGTTTTAGTATTACGTCAGTGAGAAGGCACAGTTGTAGAAAACCGTAGTCAAAAATACACTGTCAAGGAACTAGGCTTTCTCTTGATATAAAAGGCAATGGTAACTAATTGTTCAACTTAGATACCCTTTAGAAGTTATTATGCAACACACAAGCATACCTGAACATAGGGGGGTGCTCTGGATCATGGTAGAGAACATTGTAAACACAACTGGACCAAGACAGGTTGTCTGTAACTTTGCCCTTAATGATCACACACCTCCTTACAGCCTTCAACCATCTCCTATTCAAATTTGCAACTAAAGCAATGATTTGACACATTGGACAGCAAGCAATTGGTTTCTGATTTCTTGAGGATGCAAAAGGAGGCAAAGACAGCTATCAGGGCACTATCTAAACGACAAATAACACATGTCAGAGAGGTTTTGCATCCTATTAGGAATTTGTCAATATGAAAAGAGTAGACAAGCCAACATTACTAGATGCTGGTCACCTGTCATTTGTGTGGTTTTTTTTTTTTTGAGTTGGAGTCTCACTCGGTCGCCCAGACTGGAGTTCAGTGGCCGCTCCCGTCCACCACAGCCTCGACCTGCTGGACTCCGGCGATCCTTCCGCCTCAGCCTTCCGAGTAGCCGGAATTACAGGCATGCGCTACCACGCCCGGCTGATTTTTTGATTTATTGTAGAGATGAGGTCTCGCTGCCCAGGCAGGTCTCGAACCCGCAGGCTCAAGCAATCCACTCACCTCAGCCTCCCAAAGGCGCGGGATTACAGGCTGAGCCACCGAGCCCGGCCATTTGTGTTTTATAAAACAAAATTAAGCCAGAAGGCTTTAGTTTTCAAGGAAACTCAGTCACTGCTTGGTAGATATGGTGAAGGAGCACTTAAAAACAAACAAACAAACAAACAATATTAGCCGGGCATGGTAGCAAGTACCTGTAGTTCTGGCTACTTGAAAGGCTCAGGCAGAAGGATTGCCAGGGCCCAGCAAGGTTGATGCTGGGGTGGCAGTAAGTGTGTCACTGCACTCTAGCCTGAGTGACTGAGTGAGACTCCAACTCAAAAAAAAAAAAAAAAAACAGTATGAAGAGAGACATAAATTAACATAAAGACTTCTCAAGTAAGGTTTTAATATCTCATTGTAGTAAGAAATCATGTAGTGTTAATCCTCTATTTATATGTACTGAGGATAAAAACAACCACGCCTTACTCAAGATTACAAATTTTTATGATCTTCATGTCTTTATATTTAGCTGTCATTCTGATTAAAAGTCCTTCAAATCTAATTAAAGGTCTACCCTGCAATTTCCATATAGGAGACTTTTCCAGCCATGCTTGTGCATGGATTTAATGGTATTCAATCAATGAATATGTGCATAAACTCGCTAGTGAGTGTGCATTCTGTCTCTTGTTTTTTATCAGAATGCTCTAGAGATTGCTTTGTTTCCTCTTAGCCATAGTCATTCTTGACATCGCTTTAAGTATTCAGACTCCCTCTGCAGTCATTTTATTTGTAATAGTGCCTTGTGTGTTGTGTCTCCTAGCTCTACATACAAACTACCACACTTACAATCTCCATGAACCTAAGTGCATCAGTGGCGCTGGGGATGCTATACATGCCGAAAGTGTACATCATCATTTTCCACCCTGAACTCAATGTCCAGAAACGGAAGCGAAGCTTCAAGGCAGTAGTCACAGCAGCCACCATGTCATCGCGGCTGTCACACAAACCCAGTGACAGACCCAACGGTGAGGCAAAGACAGAACTCTGTGAAAACGTAGACCCAAACAGTAAGTACTCTCCTTTCCTTCCATCTTCTCATCCTGCTTCAGGAAGCTCTAGAAAATGTGGTGTGTGCTTGCCTGTTTTTGTAGAACTATTGTTACTGTTCTTATTTTATGAACCGGGTTGCCTTGGTGAATACTAACTTCTGCTCTTTTGAGTTTGACTCATTCCTGCCATTTTCTTTGCACTCCCTGTTGGAAAGAAGCTTTGAGAGACTCAACTTCAGCAGTGTGAAGGCTGCCCTTTCTCTTGCTTCTTATCTTTTGGTACTGAACCCTACTATTGACACAAACATGTCAATCAGGTTGTGAACCACCTTTCTTGCACTCTACCTGCTAGGAGCACAACTTTCTGTTAGGGAAATAACTTCTTATTAGGAAACCCATATCTGTTAGGGAAACTCCCATACCTCATGAACTGTATCAGTAGAAATAAAACTGGAATATTTAAGAATTTTATAGCTTCTTTTTACTGGCACATGAATACACAGAAAGTCATTTTTTACTTAGTAAGTCTTCTAGAAGCAAAAACATAAAATATTGGATAAAGCTGTCAAACCTTCATCCAAGTACACAGGACCAGGCACTACCATGTTAGTGATATTACCATGTAGGAAAAACATCTACCACACCATTGCAGAAGTTTTACCCTGAAAGTCAAAACTACAAGAATGGAATTAAATTAAAAAATATTAGACTGGAGATGCTGTGTGGCATAACTGTAGCACCCTGGGAGCATTTGGTCATGCCTGCAAATGACCCCAAATAAAATAGACAGGCTTTGTAAATAACACAAGACCAGCTGAGAGGTTAAATGTAAAGAATTTCCAAATGCTAACTGCTAATTTAGTATCCCCATACAAACAATTTGGTGATAAGAGTAAATTTCAGTTTACAAATACTAGTTTTAGGATTTATTTTCCCAGAAAATTTTGACAGTTGCATAAAGAATGAGACAGATTCAAGTGTTCATGATACTTCCTGTTTTTAAGGTAGAAAGGGTTTCAGGTTATCCATTAAATCATTCATAGCACATTATATTTCAGTTGTGAGCTGAAAATAATATATTAGTTAAATGTCAATTTTCTTACATTCATGAAGAGGCAAAAGGCTTGGCTTAAAGACAAATTTCACTGTGGTTCATTAAGCATTTTTCAGTTAAATATTGATTAAACACCATGAGAGATAAAACTGATTACCTGAGAGAGTTATTTCCATAAACATATGTGTGCATCTATTATATCTCTACTTGTATTGATGAATATACCTGTATATTTATACTTTTAATATTTTTATAATGCAACTTCATATCAAATTTGTATTTCATGAAATCATTATCCTGCAGCTTGTATATATACACACACACAAACATACTCACACACACACTTAACTAGATACTGTCCAGAATCATTAAGCAGAAAACACAGTTGGAAGTCAATTTGTCTGAAGAAAAAAAAAAGACTAAGTTAGAAATTTAGAATTTGGACAACTCAATACTATACATTTAAAATGTTTCTACTATTCAAAATACATTTCTACTGTTGCTAAGTTTTAATGACTAGGTCCAACTTTTGCTAAGGCTTTTTGGGATATTATAGTAATTGTTAAAATGCTAACACTAAAATTAATACTAATAACTAATTTTGGGTCCCCTTTGAAACAGGCATTATGCAGAATGCTTTGTGAGAAAGATCTTGTTCATTCCCTAAGTCTGTAGGTAGATATTATTATTCTCATCTAACTGAAGAAACTTAGATTTCACAAGATTAAGTGACATTACCAAAGTTACACATCTTGCCATCTAGTCATAGAGGTTGGGCTAAACCCCAGGTCTGACTCCTAAACCCATGATTGTTCCTCTTTCTTCCTCTAGAAGATGCATGGCATATCAAAATTCCAATGCAGAAATTGCTCTTTTGGCTTCCTGATTTGGTAATACAGTTTGTATAAATAAAGTATAATGATATTTGGTGGAAAATGTTTTAGTTAAACATGAAGCAAGATGTATAATTGCATGTTGTGTTATCTGCAAAGACAGAAGTAACCTGAGCTCAAAGATGGCTGCCCAGGTAGAGGTCTCATTACTAACTTAAAAATTATGCTATTTCAATAACAGTGATTCCATTTGGAATTCATTTGGTGTATTTCCTTGAAAATGTTTTGTTAGTTTGTTGGTTTGTTGTTGTTGTTGTTCTAGTGTCTACATAGAGCCAAGATAAACAGTTGAGAAAACAAAAAATTAAAGAAAAGAAATCAAATACAGCCTTTGTCTCACAACCAGTCTGGAAGATTTTTTAAAATTGCATTAGCTCTTTTGGTATGTGTAGACACTCCCTAAAATACCCTAAAAACATTGACTAGGTATCTACTAAAGCACAGGAGGAGATTCATGTACCTCCAAACATTGGGGTTTCTGATGACCCAGCTCTTCAAGGTTCCAAAGAGGAATCCAAAGATCTTATTTGCACAAAAGTTGTCCGGTAGAACTTTCTGCAATGATAGTAATATTCTGTATCCTGCTGTCTAATACAGTAAACACCGACACATGAGGTTGTTGAATACTTGAAGTATGGCTACTCAACTGAGGAAAAACATTTTTTTGTTTTACTTTGTTTTGAATAATTAAATTTAAACAGACCTTTGTGGCTACATTTGCTGTAGTAGACAGTGTAACTCTAGAAATTTGCAAGAATTTCATTCTAGGGCACTCAATCCGAGTCTACATTAGATACACCTCCCAGTATTGCATTAATACTTATCTGGGACAAATTCAACTTAAAAGAAGAAAACACTTGTATACAAATAGTCATCTAAAATGATTCTAATAGAAGCCACTAATATGGAAGATGTGACATCATAGACAGCAATTTGGAAAACCAGTCCCCAGCAATGAAAAAATGTATGTAGGTATGTAGGAGAAAAGTTATAGTGAAAAATTCAGTTAATAAACATAGACATGACTGTTATATGCTAGAATACATCATATTCTGTTTAATATCAGATATAACTCAAACTATCCCCAGTATATGAACTTTGGTAACAGAGACAATGGGGTTTTTTGTTGAATTTAAACTGTCTGGTTAAAAACAAACCAAAAGACAGACCAAGTGCTTGAAAGCAAAATGTATCTCTCCAATGGTCAAATTCTGTACAATATCTTCTGGGGAAGAGTATCTGGGAGAAAGTTGAGTTTAGAGTATGAACTACAAAGTAAACAGTGGAACAGAAATATCCTCTTATTCATTGTTGCTCTAAACACTTAGTCTCAATGTATTTCAATCTTCAGCGTTTTCATTTTTATTAGCTCTGCTCCATCATTGCAGTTTGCCATCTGGTGCGTGCATGCTCCTACTCACCCAACTCCACACTGCAACTACATGTCTACATAAAAATGAATTTGCTTGTTGGCTTAATATGGGCACACATTAAAACTGCCCCAGCACGGCCTTTTTTTTTTTTTTCCCCCAGAATTTCAATTATCCTCTTAGGTTGTTTCTTTAGCTAAAATTATACTGTTTGAAAGCAAAATCCCTTTCTGTATGGAATAAACAAAAACTAAAGCTTCTCAAAATCTTAATATATCTGACAAATATTCAAAGTTGAGCCAATACTCGCTGGTCTCTGCATTCAGAGATTGAAAAACAGCAAGCTCAGACGGCACGGGGTGTGATCAGCTACTTACTGGATTTTTATTTTCTACATATAAGACTTCTGTTGCCAGAGGTTCAAAAAAGCTTGACCTCATTTTGATAGCTTTAGATCTGGCCAAGATGATGCCTTCTCAACATTCCTTTCTAAGAAGAACACCTCAAACTCTGTTTCTCCCACCTGCATCCTGAGTTTGGCATGTTTTCCTGAATTTTTTCTGCAGTTCATTTGGCAGATGTATGGTCATGGCATACTTGTAGATGCCAGATAAACAGGAGGTCAATGGTTATGCTTGGGCTATGGCTTTTTGATGGCCACTATGATCCTTTTCAAGTTGAATGGATAATATTACCTAAGAGCAGCATGGCTTTATTGGGATGGGTAGTCAAGAACTGCAGCTTTCCTCAGCAAGAATGGTCATAACCAGAAGATGCTCTGTGAATTTTTCTCTGTCTCCTACTTTCCTTGGCAAAGGATCACAGTGTGTAGGGAAGAGAGGCCCTGAGCTACCTTTGTTCTAAGCTACCATCCATTTTCTAAGCCAGTGCCTCCCAGGCAATGCAGAGAAATACTTCAAGTACCTTAGCTAGAGGCAAAGAGTTTACTCTGAAAGATCAATAGCAACTAGAGATGGCAGGCAGGTGGGCAGTGAAGGACATACCTCCTTCCTAGATATGGGGATATATGACTGATAAACTGACTCAGAGATAAAGATTGGGCATATACCATGTAACAGATTGGTTTAAGCCAATAAAGACATTGTATGGTGAAGCACATATTAGATGAACAATTTGCACTTAAAATATAATAAAGTATTTTAAATATAAGTTTATATTCTGATGCTACTTTGCTTTTACTACCATTTTTGCGTCTACTGTAAGGAAATTGTACAAATAAAAACTTGTGCTATTCTAAAGGAAAGAAATCGCTATATAACATAGTAGAATTGTCAATGTAAAGAGGTATTTCATTAAAAAAAAAAAAAAACCAGGTGCACAGTGGCTCACACTTGTAATTCTAATATTTTGGGAGGACGAGATGGTAGGATCACTTGAGCCCAGGAGTTCGAGACCAACCTGGGCAACATAGCAAGACCCTTTCTCCACCCCGCCAAAAAAAAAAAAATTCTTAAAAATGGTGATGTATGCCTGTCTTCCAAGCAAAGCTGGAGGATTCCTTGAGTCCAGGAGTTTGAGGCTGCAGTGAGCTATGATTATTCAACTGCACTCCAGCCTGAGCAACAGAGCAAGACTTTATCTCATAGAAATAAAAAATAAAAAAATAAAAGCTCATACTGCTGGAAAATGGATGTGGGCACCAAACTGTACACAAATAATTATGCCTAGAAACTCTGGAACATACTCCCGTGCTGTGTTAATTTGTTATAGTTCTTGTTTTGTTTTGCTTCTTCATGTGTTTGAATTCCTAACATTTTCAACATTATGTTACTTGTTTCATCCTCCTGGACTAATCACACTGGCTGGTCAGCATGACTGGACTAGGCTGAAAAAAAAGGGATGACAACAGGAAGAAAATAATGTTCTAAATAGATAGATAAGCTGTTTGGGCTGGTTCCCTCAACTGCTCCAATTTAAGGAAGTCAAACCCAACTGCCTTATCCCAAGAGGCAACAGTACTCCCATGTTCAGAGGTACCTGAATTGAGGTAACTGGTATACCAAAAGCAATTAAACCCACTGAAAGAGTGGGCATAATGTCTATGGTCTCTATCGCAGCCTCAGTTCCAAAAAGAAAATAATAATAATAATAAAAAGGAATATTGTATGCACATTTATTTTATACATACCTATATATTTACTTTTCCTGTAGACTGTATACCACCAGTAAGAAAGAGTGTACAAAAGTCTGTTACTTGGTACACTATTCCACCAACAGTATAGCTTTTGACTGCTTTCCAAAAGGTAAGAAAACAATCTAATTTTTATTTATCTATGTGTTCTTGTCTACACTGAGAATTAGAAATGTTTCCATGAAAACTGTGCATGATTACCTGTAAATCTATCTATATGAAGAAATGCATTTTCAAAGATGATCTATCTATGTGATAAGCTTAATGACAGCAGCTGCCATTTGTCACATGCCTGGTTTATTTTCTGGTCTGGAAAACATATTTATGAGTGTGTACACATTTGTCTTTTCTAAGCAACTGGTCAATAACTGCAGAGAATTGGACTGATCACTCTGACACAAACCCTACTGTTAAACCACTAGTGGTGAGAAGCTATTTCTCAATGTATGTTTTCCCTCTCTGGTTTTGGAAGACAACATGGAAAACTTACAGGGAAAGAAAGAGGATGTTTTACAAGGATAGTAAAAATGTTTGCTATGGTTTATTTTTATTAAATACATTCAAGAAAATGTATACATTCCCAGAAATACATCTATTCAAAAGGAAAAAAAAAAAAAAAACCTGTATGGCCTTACCATCTTAATTCCAAGAGCATGTCTTCATTCCTTATTTGCAGCAAAGAAATATATTGCTTAATAATGTGAACTGGTCTTTCTCTTTCCTATGTTGATACCATGAAACTTTTATCAGATCATTGCTCTGTTTTTTCCCAACTTTGTTTCTATAATAGTATTTTGAATACAAATAATATCTTACGCCGGGCTTGGTGGCTCAGCCTGTAATCCCGCACCTTTGGGAGGCTAAGGTGAGTGGATTGCCTGAGCCCGTGGGTTCGAGACCCGCCTGGGCAGTAAGACCTCATCTCTACAATAAATCAAAAAATCAGCTGGGCGTGGTAGCGCATGCCTGTAATTCCAGCTACTTGGAAGGCTGAGGCGGAAGGATCACCAGAGCCCAGCAGGTCGAGGCTGCGGTGGCCGGGAACGGCCACTGCACTCCAGTCTGGGCGACAGAGTGAGACTCCAACTCAAAAAAAAAAAAAAGCCGGACTCGGTGGCTCAGCCTGTAATCCCGCGCCTTTGGGAGGCTGAGGTGAGTGGATTGCCTGAGCCTGTGGGTTCGAGACCCACCTGGGCAGCAAGACCTCATTTCTACAATAAATCAAAAAATCAGCCGGGCGTGGTAGCGCGTGCCTGTAATTCCGGCTACTCGGAAGGCTGAGGCGAAAGGATCGCCAGAGCCCAGCTGGTTGAGGCTGCAGTGGCTGGGAGTGGCCACTGCACTCCAGTCTGGGCCACCGAGTGAGACTCCAACAAAATAAAAATTAAAAAAAAAATATATATATATATATATAATATATATATATATTATATATATAAAATATCTTGTTCTGTCTCTCTCCTTCTCTCCTTCTCTCTCTCTCTCTCTCTCTCTCTCTCTCTCTCTCTCTCTCTCTCTCTCTCTCCATTTAGCACTATAAGACAGGACAAGGGTACTTTCAAAGAGTAATTACCTTTCCTGTTGATTTTAGATGGACGCTAGCAACTTGGTCTTTAATTTAGGATGTATTGTTCACATAGTTATTTCCTTTTTCCATATCAACATGATCTGTCCTAGTTTTTAAATAGGGCATTCTTTTCTACCAGTGAATATATAACTGTATTCCAGTGAGATTTCAACTTTTTGCAGTACAAGTGCTTGTCAAAACACTGCAGCTCATCATTTTAATAGTCTTTTTTTAACATGAGACTGCCTGAGAATAAATGAGAAGGAATTTTCCCTGGGTGAAAATGATAGATTTAATCTCAATCCATTAAAAATTCTCTTTTGCTCCTTTCTAAGTTGATGACTTTTGGTTTAAAGGAGTCAGATGAAAATATTTTAAGTCAATCTTTCAGTTAAAAAATAACTTTAGGTTGTGCTGTTTAGAAATACATCCAAACTTTTTGCTAGAATTGTATTGCTTCAAAGATTTTGATTAGAATGATTCCAAGAGAGTAAGCAGTGAGGTCATATCATGGGAAGAATAAAAAATATTGCTTAGTAATGTGGACTGGCCCTTCTCTTTCCTACATTTACATCATGGAATTTTTATCAGTTTATTGTTATGTTTCTTTCCATCTTTGTTTTTACAATGGTATTCTAATACAAATAGTATTTCTATTTGGTCTTTTTTTTCTGACTAATTTAGATGTGCTTTACAAATTAATGATTGATATAACTATATAACTACTTAAATAATTGTGATTGGAAATTGTTTTTTGTTATACTAATTCTAAGAGTGGGTGATTCACTTTGTTCAAAAGTGAAACTGGTAAAGTTGGGAGACCAGTGGTAAAAAACAATCATTTAATGTGTGTTCAAATTTATTTCTTTGTGATTGCTTTCTGGGAGACAAAACAGTAAAGAGAAAACTATAGTTTCAAGAGTAAACTTTTATACTACTGTGCTATTATACATCAATGTCAGTTGCCATGTCCCAACAAAGGCATACTATATACAGCAAATCAAAACTCTCTTGTAGGGAGTTGAAGGAAGTAGGTTCAAATTCAGATAGAACAAAACCCAACCTGGTTTGAAAATGCATTCCATATAATGCTTCTTTTTAAAAGCACTCTCCTGTGACAAATGCTATAGGCCAGATATCAGCAGAACCAATACTTCCAGCATCTTATATAAACTGAATGTTTATACATTTTTAAATTCTGCAAAGTGTTATCAATCTAATGGCATATTTTGAAAAGTAACATTTTTTTAAAAGCACAATTAATCTGGCATCATCATCAGATCAGGAAACAAGTTTTGTTAGGAGGTAAATTTTCATGCCATAGGATGGCGTTTTGATTTTAAAACTTTAAAAGTATAATTCAGCCTTGCAAGTTTGTACATATAAAAGCCTGAGTCACATTTTTACAAAGCTTTGTTCTCATGAGTAAATAAACAGATTATAATATTATTGACATCTCGTTAATTTTATTATAAGGTATATAATCTCATATATTTAAATTAAAACATGATTTCTTACAATTACTGCAATAAGATTATTTGGCAGTTTTAAGCTTTTTGTAACTATGCAATGCAAGTTTTTGTATCATGTTTAGACTCTGATTCTTTGACATTAAATGTGATATCTCTGCTCTAACTGGAGACCATATCCACTTACAATTCACTTTGAAACACTATAAATATAGCATAGCACAGAATATATGTTATCTGACCTTTGACATTGAATCACCTTGGAAATAAATGCAGCTATAAATCTTTCTGGCATATTTCTCTCCGCCTAAGAGCTCTGTGAAACACCATCATTTCTCTCATCGAGGTTTGATATCTCAGCATATTTTCAAAAACCAGTTAATATTTGCCATCTTTGTTCTGCAACTTGAGTTTAACATAAAGAATGAAATAAAAGTTCATATGGCTAGTGTTTCTACTAGTTCTTAGCATAAATGAGATATACATACCCCAAATCATGAAAACGAGGTCAACTTTTACATTTAAGCATTGCACTTCCCTGCCTGGTCAAGATTTATGAACTGTTATTTTTAAGTTGGGTCATTCAAAGAAATGCTTGCCGAGCATCTCTCCTCTTGGCCAGGCCTGAACTGACTAGGAACGGGGGACAGCAGTGGACAATGCCTTCAGAGAGCTCAGATCTAATGGCAAGCTCAAAGGTAAGCAATTATAATTCAGGGTGGCAGGAGCTCTTGGTAGAGGTATGTACCAAATGCTATCATGCTATACACGGAAAGCATCACCAAGGAGGTTTTGTTTGAGCTGGTCTTCAAAGTTAAGGCAACCATATAAAGAAAGGCACTCAAGGTAGGAAAAAAGTATGAACAAAGAACCTGGAGTACAAATGAATATAGTACATGCTGGAACTAGAAGGCAGTTCTGACATATTGGATTTTGAGGGAGATAATTTCAGGGGATGAAACACAGGAAGTAGCCTGAGGGTAAAAAGACTGAGTTCCCATTATCTTTTTGCCTTTAAATACAGGGCCTAGAAAATACTAAGGTTCTCAGAAACTGTGGAATGAGTGGAGTATAATACCTCACATACCAAAGGCTTCTCTTTTTACCCTGAACCTGCTAGGTGCACAGTAAATATTTATAAGTGAATATGTATTAATAATAAGAAAATATCAACCCTACAACTGCAGCAGGTGGAATTATTTTTTCCAGGTAAAACCTCTAAGGGTCACAAAGACCACTCTAAAAGACAGTGTTTTACTTTGATGCTGGTTTCAAAAATATGTTCCAGTTTGTATGTACAACTCCTAAAATGGCTATCAATACTACATCTGGACTTTTATAATTAATCTCTCTTGATGCACTAAACCCATGTATAAACCAACCAACCAAGTTTTATGCCTATTTCTTTTTTTTCAAGAACTATGGATAGCTAAACCATGTTTTGTTCAAAGGGTGCACACATTTAAAAGGTTTTCACTGGAAATGGATCATAAGCACTTGTTTTAAATAGTCACAGATTTCAATTTGGTAAAAATAAAAATAAAATTAATTATATTGGTGATTTGATTATTGAGTGTATTTTCTTGGAGATTGTCATTCAGGTCAGAACTTGTCTTTCTAGTCCCCCAAGTATAATTTGCATTTTAAAAGAAAAAAGTATGTATCCTAAACCAAGGTCAGTTAATCTCTGAAATCTTCCTTTCCACCAATTATTGTGAATGAACATCTTTCCAGTATTCAAGTGATGGCGACTCTTGTTCCCTCCTACTAAAGATGTATCTCAACTTTGCAGATTTTTTTTTCTTTTTGGCTGTACGATGGAAGTTGGATGCATTTTAAATTAACTTTCTCTAGGAATCAAAGGTAATCATTATTTCTCTTTATGATCTACATGACTATTCTCATTATTTTTTATTTTCTAGTTGAAGAATAGTTTTGAATGACCTTTATATCTCTGCCCTCTTTCAGAATAACCTCTGAGGACCTAAGCTTGTACAAGGAGAATTGAGAAAATGTCTCCAAAGTTTATTCTTTCCAAGCTGACCCAAACAGTTAGGAAAACATGATATGAATCCA